AGGTTCAGTAATTAAAGGATGAGTGATGCAGTGATACTCAACACGAGTTCAAGTACTGTTACAGGCAATTTAGCTTATGTTCCATACTTGCATTGGCATTTCAGGTTGATTAACGTGCTCGATAACTCAGTGAAAAGTAGCACAATGTTTTGTGAAGAGCACAATAATGTTCCTTAATTAGGAAAACCAAGTATCTATAATCATATTCATCTACAGTTCATGGTCAGTCTAACTACATGGGATAGCCAGAATCCCAATCAGATTGCATAAGACAGTATTCAAGCCCCCCCCCCCTCCCCCTCCCCCTCCTTACAAAAAATTGAAAATTGTAAACGCGGGTGGCTGTACTCTTACAGTACATACTGTATGACGCACAATATACCCGGTCCAATGGCCGTCGCTGCAGGGCCAGATCTTGAGTCAAAGGCAGAGGCAGAATCTGGTGCGAGTGCGAGTGCAAGTGCAAGTGCAAGTGATGTCTGCTGGCATGGGTGTGTGGGTTCAAAGTCCAAGTGGAGGGAACAGTTGTGGTGCACAAGGCAACAGTGGGAGAGTGGGTTGCATGCTGGGTTGGGGATTCAGAGGGACCGGCCGGTGCATTCATCGTGGCTTCGAGACGGGTCTGAGTCGTTTGTGTCTCAAGGGCATGCAGGGGCGGGGGAAGGATGAGTCACGCCATCACTGGGAATTACGTTGCATGTAGAGAGTGAGAGAGAGTGTGTGTGTAGTTCAAAAACAGTGCACACCGGATCAAAAAGGGATAGCTAATATAGTATATTGGGTAAAGAAGACTAGAGAAGGGTATAGAGCTAAATTTTGACCGCGAGGTGACCAATCTGCATACAGATGTCGTGTAAAGCTCAGGATCTACATGCCAGCCTCGACGAGGAAGCCAGAGAAAGCAAAGGAGAAGAGAAGAGCAGCAGCAGCAGAAGCAAAAAAAAAAAACTGGTAGTGAGAAGAGCCTGGGACAACCAGCCAGCCTGAACACCATGCACGATAAAACCAGAGTGAGAAACAAAAAACTCGAAAGACAATGAAGAAAAAAAGCAAGAGCGGAGGCAAGGGTATATCCGGCAAAGCATACTTTTCCGTAAACCAGCCCATGAACGCGTGATCCCTTGGAATGAGGAAAAAAGGACCCATTACAGTGTTGTTACAGAGCAGCCATCGTCCTAGGCCAAGAGAGCAGGCAGCAGAATTAACAATTACAAACGGCAAGAAATGGGTATCTCGCAGTAATGTCAAACACAGTACGCAGAGGCTTTCAGAAGGAGTAAAAGGGAAGATACCAACGAGCAAAACGGCTTTGCCAAAGCGCTTGGGTATCGAGCAGCAGCAGCAGCAGCAGCAGCAGCATCGCGACTGCCGGCCTACATCGAGGGGTAGTCGAGAATCGGCACGCAATTCACGTCAAATCGGTGGGACCAGAGACGCATTCCAGTCATCAGCTTCTCCGTCTTCTCCAGCTCTCGGTCGCGCCCAAAGATGGACTCGACAAATTCCACTCCAGTGTTCTTGCCCATCGAAATCGGCTTCTCTACCCCAGACTCTTGCTTGGCCGCCTTCCACATGTAGTCCTCACATACTTTGAGGAGCATCGCAAACCGGATCCACAGACGCTCGCCGCTCTCGAGGAAGTCGTCGACCATTTCCTTGTTGGCGTCCTTGCGGATCCGGTGCCTCGTCTCAATCGACCGCTTGACCTTGGCCGCCAGGTGGATGAGGAGCAGCCAGAGTTCACCCGCCATCTCGGCAATGGGCGTGCCAGGGCCGTAGTGGTACACGGTCCAGTCAAAGATCCACTTGCCAAGCGAGTCGGCATCAAACACGGATCCGAGCAGCATAATCGGTTCCTCTTCGGGGTCCCAGTTCTTGTAAGAGTAGCCTGCGGGGATACCGGCACGTTGGGCATCCTCGGGAGTGGCCTTGCGCTTCGTCTTCTCCTTCTCCTTGGTCGGCGCAGGCTTCTTCGTCTTCTTGGGCGACGAGGCGGCGGCCTGTGGGCGGGCATACTCGGACGCACGGCGTGTTCGCGTGGGCTTGGGCTGTGACTCATAGATGGGAACCTGATCATAGTAGCAACGATCAGCATCCCCGTACATGTCGTGGCGCGCATACTGTTCGTACGGCGGTGGCGGGTAGTCGTAGACGTCGTACTCGCACTCGTAGCCGTAGCCGCGGTCGTCGTAGACAACTCTGGTCTGGAACTGACGAGCCGACTGCGACGGACGACGCTTCCTCTCGCGATGGGTGCGCTTGAGAGGCTGGGCGTCTGAGTCGCGGCGATGCCGGCCTGGTTGTTGTTGTTGATGATGATAACCGAAATAACTTACATAGTCGGGCGTGCCTCTCGGCGTTGCGTATGCGCGTGGAGTCGTGAACTCTGCACCGTACGGAGGCATGGCCCCTCCGCGCTGGCTCGGGTAGGCGGAGTACTGGGGAGGCACGGCGTAGGATGCGCGGCGCGAGTGGCCTGTTGCGACCTTGGGGCTGCTTCGAGACGTCGGCGTGGCGGTAGGGCCATGGCGGGGGGAGTAGTAGTCGCGCGCTGTGTGGTTGGGCGAGACTGGCGGGGTGTCGTGGCGGTATTCGAAGCCGTAGCCTGGAGGAGGCGGGGTTGGGTAGTGAGAGGCGTACATGTCGGTGGTGGTGATGGTGACGGTTGTGGTTGTGGTGTGGAGGAGTGTTCAGGTTGGTGGAGCCGTGTGGGCAGCTGTGCGAGGGAAGAGGCGCTACTTTCTTCTTATCGTGGAAAAGAGGCCAGGCCGGTGCCTGTTCGCCGATGCGTTCGCGCGCTGTTCTGTGGGTACGCCAACGGAGGCTGTTCGCGCGTGGGCAGGACGCGAGGTGAGGGGAGGTGCAGCGACGGAGGAGAGAGAAAGGGAAGTCCGGCTCTGTCTACTGCACATTGGGTGTTGTTCTTCAAAGGTATGGGAAGCTGCCAGAAGGATCCAGACTAGGGAGGATCCTGTGTCAAGTGTTTTTTGTATACTCTAGTTTTGGGGTTCGATGTAGACGGGATGGACGTCTACATACAGAGAGAGAGAGAGAGAGAGAGAGTGTGTGTGTGTGTGTGTGGTGGGTGCTTGGTAATGGTGGTGTTTCTGGGAAAAGAGCGGAAGCGGGTGCGTGGGACTGCGCCTGCTTAAAGAGAGCCCAGAGCCCGTTGCCCTCTTTCGTGCGCGGACCACAGCGGCGTCCCCATCACTCCTAGCCCGTCCTTAGGTATCAGCCCCTCCTCACCATCCTCGCCCTCTTCGCCCTCTTATCCCTCCTAAGCCCTCTTAACACCACCACT